TATAGCCCTTAAGTTACCTAGAAAGTTTCAAACCACAGAAGCAGAAGTGAACACCAGGCCAAGCGTAACGTATATTCTTATATCTTGCCAGGATATTTTTTTTTTCCTTTTTGTCTTTTGTTCGTGTCCGGCAACGGATCGCAACCCTCAGTGTCGCGCCCGTACCGGACCGGGACCGGCAACGGGATCGCAACCCTCGGTGCTGCGCCCGCACCTCGCTCAGCCAGTGAGCAGAACCGGTCTGTATATGGGATCTGAACCCTCGGCGGGAGCGTCACCATGCTCCCAAGCGGCACACTGTAGCAGTGCGCCACCGGGCCGGCCATTGCCAGGATATTTTTTGTACCAAATTCTCAAATCTTTCTCTTTCCTGCCTAGAATATACATTTTTTTTCATCCAAGTGCTATATTTGACTTTAAGATTTTTACAACTCTTTTTTCTTCTTCAATTTCCCATCAATACTATTTTAACAAATTTATGCGTATAAACAAACAGCAACACAAGGCCCCATTGCAATCCAGATTGAGTATTACATGTAAGGGGTTTACAGAGGACATATTTCTAAGGCTTTGCAGACTCCGAATGAACTGAATTAAAAATCCAAACATGGTGGATTTAGGAGAATTCAGCGTGTTTTGAAGGACAATTCACTTTGGTCCAGTTATGATCAAGAACTGGGTCTCTAAAAGTCACCTTCATTGTCGAATTTCATCCAGGCGATGTCGTCGCCCACGCACTCTATCTTCCAGCCTGGGAGGGAGGGGTTCATCATGGCCAGGTTGGTCTTCCCGCAGGCACTGGGGAACGCGGCTGCCAGATACTTCTTCTCACCCTCAGGGTTGGTAATACCCAGGATCTGTTGGAGTCAAGACTCTTCACTAAGATCTTTGTTCCTTTCTCCCCCAGAGGTCAGTATTTCAGTCCAGGAATGTGCTTACAAACCCCCAAAATGTAGGCCCTAGAGATTTAATTTTTCAGGCATTGATATAAGTTAACATTTTTAAAACAAAGTCCAGAAGATCTCTATTGGTTCCTTGTGTTTGAGGTCCTTCAAAAGGGACATATACAGTGCATTAATAATTACTGATGGAATTCCCCAATCTCTCCAGGAACCTGCACACTCAGGTGTGCGTGGGTGGGATCCGAACCCTCGGACGGGAGCGCCGCCGCGCTTCCCAAGCGGTGCACTATCCAGTGCGCCACCGGGCCGACCCGATATGTTAACATTTTTAAAACAAAGTCCAGAAGATCTCTATTGGTTCCTTGTGTTTGAGGTCCTTCAAAAGGGACATATACAGTGCATTAATAATTACTGATGGAATTCCCCAATCTCTCCAGGAACCTGCACACTCAGGTGTGCGTGGGGTCTCTCCTGATGGGAACTGTATTGGCATTTGCAGTTGCCACCCCCAGGCCCACCGACACACACATTTAGGACATCTATTACTGATGGAATTCCCCAATCTCTCCAGGAACCTGCACACTCAGGTGTGCGTGGGGTCTCGCCTGATGGGAACTGTATTGGCATTTGCAGTTGCCACCCCCAGGCCCACCGACACACACATTTAGGACATCTTGCGCACTCACCAGCATGTGCTCTGCCAGCCAGCCCTCCTCCTTAGCCAGACGGCCGGCCATCCTGAGAGCAAAGCACTTCTTCCCGAGCAGCGAGTTCCCGCCATACCCGCTCCCAAAGGAGATGATCTCTCTGTGGTCGGGTAGGTGAGCGATGAGTGTCAGCTCCGGGTTGCAGGGCCAGTTGTTGACCAAGGGCTCTGCAGACAAGGACCCATCCCCCATTAGTGTGCCACATCCTCGCTTGGGGACCCCTGCAGCACAGGCCCAGGGTTCATGGTCAAGCTTACTTTTTCATTTTAACTTTTGATTTTGAAATAGTATGCTTACTTTTTAAAGGCAAAGGGCACCCCACGGAATGGAGGCACTTGACAAATTCCCCGTCACCCAGCGCTTCCAGGACGGGTGTGCCAATTCGCGTCATGATACGCATGCTGGCCACCACGTAGGGCGAATCCGTCAGCTCAATGCCAATCTTTGACAGAGGGGAGCCCAGCGGCCCCATGCTGAACGGGATGACATACATGGTGCGACCTGTGGGACCAGATTGGTGGGGACAGGTGAGAAATGACCTTGGACTCACAAACACAACTGTCATCATTTCCCTGGGTGAACCCATTCTCATGGTCCCCCACTAACAACATCAGACCCTGTTTGCCCCCTGCCCCCTCCTGTTAGAAGGGTCCACTGAAAGTGAACAGCAAGCCACCATTAAAGAGTTTTCATAAAAGCACAATTGGGCTCCATAAAGACCTTTTAAATCCATATGTATAGAAACCATTTTCATGTTCCTATAAGATAGGCTGTAAAACCAGAATTGAGATGTGCATGTTCAATACATTGCCAATTTCATATGGAATTGAAAGAGATCTGCGGCTATGGAGTTTTCATTACTGTTAACAATTACCATGAGGATAATCTTAACAATAAAAGGTTTGCTGCTGTTTTGTTCAATCAAATAGATGCTGCATTCACCTTTCATGCACTCTGGGAATCTGGCATTGAAGGCTTTTTCAAAGTCCGCCTCTGACATCCAGCGACCCAGCTGGCTGACGCCGTTTTTGGGAATGGGCACCGTGTCTCTTTGCTCTTGGGTAATGATAACCGTCTTGCTTTCGATCCTGGCCACATCTCTGGGGTCAGTGAGAGCCAACCAGCTGCAAAAGCGCAAGATTGCCTTCAGCCAAGCATGGTTAGGAATGGACTAGTCTTACCCATTATCACGTTCTTCCTGTGCCCAGCAGGACGCCAAGCACATTGATATCCCACAAACGTGAATGACCAACCAAACAGGACATGGTCAGGTGGACATGTGCTAGGCTCTGAGCTAGTCTTTTAGGATCAGGAAACTGGTTTGTATTTGCCATCTCATGGAAGGCTTGGGCAGCTCTTAAAATGTCATGAATTTCAAGTCTGTGTGGATCTGACTGTCTTATTAAGTTTTTCGAGTCTGTAACCCCCTGAGAGGTCTTCATTCACCTCTTTCTACCAACACCCAGGAGATGGAGGGGAGGTGTGAGCGCCGGGCCCTGGAGCCGCGCTTACCAGTTGTCGTATTTCTTCAGCTTCCTGACCATGCCCTGCTCCTGCATGTGCTCCAGCAGCCGCCCGTTCTCCTGCTCAGAGCCATCGCAGATGTGGATGTACTTGGGCTGGCACAACTGGGCATTGTTCTCCACGAACTCCCTCACCGCCTGGGGCAGGCTGTCTAGGGTGCCCTGAATGACTTTGGCTGAGAGGTTCAGGCCGTTTAGCACCTGAGGAGGCATTTCTGCAGAGTTGTGCTAGGGGCTCGAATGGCAGGGTTACCTGAAATAGAAAACACAGGTTTCCTGAACAAAACCATCAGCAGACACCTTCAAACACATTCGACATACTTGGTTTGGGTGGTGTGTCATCAGTTATTGCTTTAAGGAAAAAAAAAACAAGTTTGTGTTATCTCTGGAATTTTTAGGAATGTGAATTAAAAAGCTCTACCTACCTTTCTTCTCTTCGGACAATCTCAATCAGAGATTCAAGGATCTCTTTCCAGGTTCTTCCCGCTGGTGAGTGTGTGTTTCCAGTGGGAAAGCTGTGCTTGGTGGCAGAACCTCCTGGCTTTAAATGCCATGGAGGAGAACGGCCCTGCCCCCTCGGCTCACCCTGGGAGGCTCGTCCCTGACGTCAGAGGCAGGTCTTTGGATCATGGCCACAGTCAGTTATGCTTTGGACCAACTCACCACAATATTCCCAGGGAGATAATCATTGAGCAAATAGTTGTTAACAAATCCCGGGCAGCCTCGGCCCCTAGATCAACCATAGTAAATCCTTACACAACTTTTGATTGACTTAACTCTGATCCAGTTCACCGCTGATGCAGAGCGCAATGCCCTTTCCTTGAAAGGCAGGTTGAGGACAAGGCTGGCCAGAGCACCTCCCAGACCTCAAGGTTTTCTGGCAGCACATTTTGTGTGCTAGAGGCTGCGGGTTGGCAAAAACACTAGCTGTGAGGTGTCACCCCAGGGTCAAAGCTCATGGGAAGGATGTGCCATAACTTGGGCAAACGTGTGGCTTTTTGGTAAGGTTCTGCAATATCTGACCTAATTGGGGGCTAATAACTTTATCAAGTGCCTGCTGGGTGCCAATTACACCCCCATTATAAACTCTGTGAGGGCAGGGATTCTGCCTATGCTGTTTATTTTTATATCTACAGTAGCAAAGCACATAATAGGCACTGAAAGTATACATATCGAGCACTGTTCTAAGTGCTTTGCATGAGGTGGGGACTACCAACAGCCCTATGAACAGAAAAGGGAACTGAGAAGGAGAGATCGAGTCGCTACTCCTAGCTGGCTGGTGGGTGGCAGGGGGAGGATTTGAACACAAGCAAGCTGGACTCTGGACCTCCACGTCACCTCTTGTGAGGTACCATTACCTTTTCTGGAACCTTCCATGTATTCTCCAAGTAGTTCTGAGCTGGATGCAATTACTCCTGGAGTAAACTAGACACTTTTTTGCTTACCTTGCAAGTCTGAGAGTTTGGGGAGTGGAGGGGGCTTGGCAGTTTTACTAGATTACACGTAAGCAAGAGACCTTTATAACAGCTGTAAAGAATTTGCTTTGCAAGCCAGCAAAACCTCAGTCCAATGTAATGAACCTTCAAAGCTATTTACTGGTGTATAGAGAAATGGGTGAGAAGTTAGGAGGACACAGCTGGGCCCCAATTCTCCACAGCCAGTTGAACAGTTCTGCGGGAGCCCCTCTACCTTGGGTGAGGTGCAGCGGGGACTCAGCTGCCTCCCCTGTAGGGCAGGGGATGATCTGCTGAGATAATTCCATGACTGCACTTGTGAAGACCTGTGGCCGATGCAAGCCACTGTGGACGGAGTCACAAACCGAGAGCATTTCGAGGACTGTCCTATAGAGTTTGGTTGACACTGCAACATTAGGAACTTCCACCAAAATTATCAACATTTAATGAGGCATTATTCAACCAATTAGGTCTTTCAGTGTAAACACAACGCGAGGAGCTTTTGTTTAGTTTAAAGTTATTTCCCGTTTAGGTCACTGGATTTCATTATTAGTGGCATTGTCACCCACGCATAAATTTGTGTTGTGTCTAAACCCAGCAGTGATGTAATGCTCAGTGGCTGAGGGCACTTTCTTAGCACCTGACATCAGTGAAGTTAGCCATTCCAACGCGTAGCTGTAAGTAGACACACACACGGGTGGCTCATCCCACCAAATTGGGAGAGAGCCCAATTTTACTGATAAAACTGTAATAGTTTGATTCCCTGGAAGAGCACATAGATTGAAAACAAAAACGAGAAACCAGAACTTATTTGGAGATCTACATGCTACCCATAAATCCAGGGCGTTGATGTGCTGGGTCTTCCGGGAGGGAAACAGCTAGTTCAGTTAAAATGTAGGAACATCCTACATTTAATTGAACAGTGAGTCACCGCCGACCTTCAGCCCATCATTTAACCGCACGCATTTACAGCATGGAAGGATGGTGTTATTTCCCCGTGATCAGCCCTTGTCAAAATCTTAAAAAGCAATCATTGGGCTGCAGACTTACCTCAAAGTACAGAGTTCTCTGGAAGAAACAAGTGATACAAAGAGAAGCCGGGGTTTTGAGGATACAAGGGCAAAACCGTTCTCTCATCTGCCGAGGGCCTCAGTCTTACCCTGTCTTTGGAGACTCCCTACCCTGAAGAGGACACCTTTAGCAACATTTTCCAGGGGCTGGCCAGGGGCATTATTGTCTTCTCCATTTGACCATCAGCTCAGTTACAAGTAAGCCCCCTAACTGCTACTTTGCCAGTGAAATCCCTGACGACCCTCAGTCAAACCCCAATTGCATTTTTCAGCATGTGCTCAGTGTGGGTGGGGAGTGGAGGTGGCTCACTTTGGGTGTGACTTGCACTTGTTTCTGGAAATGCCATAGCGACCCCTAGCTTTCCAGGGGCTACTTAGGTACATATTACCTTAGGTCCAAGGTTGCTCTTCTTTTTAAAAAACATCTAAACAGTTGAGCTTGGATGCAAAACTGCTTCAGGAAAAAAAAAGAAAAGAAAAGAAAAAAGAAAAAAGACCCAGACTGCAAAAGATAGTTTCAGACCTCAGAGTGGCTTCCTTCTCCCTCCTGAAGCTACAGCACATTTTTTGTTGTTCAGCGACTGTTGATTTCATTTCATGCCTTCTATGACCACACCAGCTATATCCTTGATACAAGATAATCAGACAGGTTAAAAAAGGTAAAGAGAAATTTTGAGTCCAGTTTGCTGAAACCTCATTTTCCCTAGGGATTCTTGCCTCAAACATTTATTAAATGTCGACTATGTCTCTAGCACTGGAAATAACAATATTAATAATGGGCTTCCTCTGCATGACAGTGATGGAATGCATTACAAGACTTTCTCTGATGTAAGTACCTTTATTATCTTTCCCATTTTATAGATCAGGAAACTGAGGCTCAAGAAAGGAATCACACTCATTCATTCAACAAACACTGACTGAGCAGCTCCCATTGCCATTTTTCTAGATATGTCCCCAAACTGTGAGCCCTTGACCCTCTTTTTCCCTATATACCCCCAGCACCTGGCGATCAAGCACATGTTGGACACCTGCTGTATAATCACCCCCAGGGCCGGCTTCATGGCTCATGAGCAGGCCCCACTCTGGGAGTGGGTCCCCTCTCTCTGGAGGTTTCATGGTCAGTGGACACTGTCTTGAAATTCACAATGACATTATCTCTGAGTCTGTGTTACTCATGTAAGTGAAGTAGATGGGACTGCTCTGCCTCTTTGAAACAGGTTCTCAGCCCTCACTTCACTGTCCCTCCCTGCCTGGTGACTATTGCCACCCTCTACTCCTGACAGGGGCCTGGGCACAAGCTCAGGGAGGTTGGGTCGGGGTCACGTGCTTGTGAGCGTCTGCCCTGGCTCCCATGAGCATCCCCATGCCCAGGTGTGACATGAGATAGCAAATAAAAACCACCATGACAGCCAGAGAGACCATGGGAGAAAGGAAAACATTTTTTGTCCTTTTTAAAAAAGGGGCCTGCACTTTCATTTTGGACTTAGCCCCACAAATAATGTAGCCATCCTGCATACCATAGCGGTAAGTTCTTTAAGGAACAATTTCCTTGAGGCCTTGAGATAGAGTTGGCGAGACATCCCTAAATGCTGGAATGTCTGGCTTGTCATCAGACCCATGTGATGGTCCAATCAAAGAATAACCTGCCCTTGGCCAGTCACCACATTGCAGTTCACATCAGGTGCTACATTTTACTGTCTATACTACGGTCAACAGTGACAGCAGACATTGGTACAAGCTTTGTGGCTAGTGGGTGCCTTCCTTGATGGGCTTTCATGTGGCCTCTACTGTAGTGGGCAAAGCCAAGGACACAGGGGGAATTTCAAGACCAGGTGCCCAGATCCCCTCCTGCCATGTCCTGCTTGCCCACTGCACCTGGTCCACTGGGCATGGATTGGAGACGAAGCGGCTATTGGCCAGGCAGCCTCTAGGTCTCCTTCCTCACCTGTGTGGTGCTGCAGCCCAGCCCTATGTGCTCTGGAGGAGTGAGGAAACAAGGCTTCAAAGGGCCTCCAGAATGCCCAGGTAGCCTGGAAACACGGGCAGGGCCTGCCAAGAGTCAACAGGTGTGACCAGGTGAGCTTTGGAGGGGTGAGGACTGGCTGTGCTCCAGGTAAGAATGGGAAACAAAGCCATGAGCTCGGGGCGGGGTCTCACAGAAGAGGATTCTGAGGACAGTCTGATTGCAACATATGTTAATTGCAATTCTCAGTTATCTGGAGGCCAATAAAGGAGCAGAAGTCCCAAAGACTATCAACATCAGGCTTGGCGGTCAAGATCAATGGTTTACAAACTGTACTCTGAGGGCTTAGGGGAATTCCACTGAGCCTTGTCACAGAGGGGAGGGGAAAAGGCCAAGTGAGATGCACTTGGAGCTCTCCTTGCCCACGGCGTGTCTGATTTCACCTGTTGACATTTTAGGTTTCCACATTGGATCAGTTTGTACAAGGAATTTCACAGAACACAGTGGATATCCACCAATCACAACCATTCTTTCCTTGCAGAAGTGAAACAGCTGAGAACAAGAGAGTGCAAATATACCATCATCTTCCCAAGCTAAGTCTCTCAACCGCAAGACCATGACCTCCCCACCCCACCCCGGCCACTGCTGGAAGTGAGGGGGTGGATTCATTCCACACGGGAGTGACTGCAAAAATCCTATGTTCAGGAATCCGAATTCATGGGAAGC